TTTTACATGTTTTACCAGAATTTAAAAAATATCAATAGTATTGCTTTTCTGATATTCGCATTACTGAATATAAAGTATTTTAGCTACATTATAAATTATACAAGTGCTGTAGCATGCAGTTTTTTTTATTTCTTGAGATTACACAGACTTTAGCTTTTCTTTTCTCCCTTGCCCTTTTCAAAAAATGGAAACAAGAGAGTATGGCATCTCCAACTGAAACAGACCTAGTCAGGTAGGAGTGTCAGTTCTATGTAACTCAAATCCATACTACACTCTGGAATGAAATCTTCCCTTGGTAAGAACTGGAAGAAGAGTTACAGAGCATACATTCTTCTCTTCAAGACATAACCTGGCTGTAACTAAAACTATGAGATCTCAATAGGCAGAAACATAGTAACTTCCATCTGAAAGACAGAATCATACTTAAAGAATTGCAATTTTTAGTTGTCCTAAAAAGCTTAGAGCAATGTGTGATACAGGAGGTAACATGTCTCCTTCAAAATTTAAGTTGATTCTTAACAGCAGTTCTAAACAGTTCATGTTTGTTTGATTTTTTTCAAGATTATATTTCTAGAACAGGTTTTTAGATTTACAATAAAATTAAGAAAGTATAGGGATTTTTCATAGTCTGCCCTGCAAAATGTCTAGTCTTCCTCATTATCAACATAAATCTACAGAGTGGTACTTTTTTTCCCCTTTACTACGAATAAACCTAAACTAACATACATAATCACCCCAAGGCCACAGTTTATCTAAGTGTTCACGCTTGGTATTGTACATTCTTTGGGTTTGGACAAAAGTAATGACATGTATGTATTATTATAAAATCACAAAATTAACTGTAATTCTTTTTCACTGCCCTAAAAATCCTCTGTGCTATGCCTATTCATCTCATGCTTATTTTTAATAATTTCCAAGTTGTTACGTCAGAAGAAAATACCACACATCCTTGAAAACAAGCTTATTGCTTTTATATCCCTAGAGCTTAGCAAAGTGCTTGGCATGATGATGCTCAATCAATATTTTCTGAATTCACACTTCACTTTCATCAGTGTATAAAATTTTGTGAAAACTGCACCTTTTTCCTCCACTTTGCATAATTAGTTATTGAGCACAACCAGAGACAGTGTCAAAACAAAGTGATCGGTTCCACAATTTCATGCTTATCTCTTCGGGTTCGCTTTCTTGCTCGAGTCACACTATTTACCACTAATGGACTCCCAGTCACCCTGCTCCCCTTCAACAACATTCCCAAGCTCCTTCATTCTCATATCCCCAGGACCTCTTCACTTGCTCCTCTGTGGGTGCCCTGCTCTATTTTTTTTTTTTTCTGAGAAAACTGAAACTGTCTTCTTCACTTCAACATTTCTGATTCACCCCGCTCTTCCTTAGTCTCAAAAGACACAGTCTTCCTCTTTTTCATTTGTATTCTCTATTAGTTTCTACTCTAGTAGAACCAGTTTCCCCGCCTGCCCTCTGAACCAGGTGCCTTGGATTTTTCTCTGTTCCTTTCCACTGGACCTTACCTCACCAGAAGTGGCCTCTTCCACTAATTTCTATATTCAAACTATACCAAAACTCTAGGAAAGAATTCTAGGAAACACAGGTAAATCCAATTTACACTAGCTCTTTCTCCTCTTAGTCTCCAAAGCACCTAATGTGTGTAATATTTATATACTGACTAATTGCCTCCTGCCTTATGGATATGTTATCCATTTTTATAAATTTTTAATTGCTGTCTTTTCCCAAAAACTATATTTATAAACTATTTGAGGGCAAGGAATGTCTTCTACTTCATTGTAGAAAAAATCTTCTGTTTATATAGAGTGTATTCAAATTTGTTTTGATAATGGAGAGGTAATTAAGAATGGTAACTTTTTTATTATTAATATAAAGTACTGCAAAAAATTAACTTTTCTGACTCCATTATATTCATCATTGTACTGAACACAGTGACCATGTCACATGTATTTTTAAAATGTATGTATTTTCGGGCCTCCCCTGGTGGCGCAGCGGTTGAGCGCTGGGCTGCGAAGCTGCCCGCAGCCTCTGCAGCGCCGGTTCAATCCCCGGCCACCGGCGAGGGTCCCACATGGCGCGCAGACCTCTCCTGCCGCCCGCTGCTCCCCTCAGCAGTGTATTTCGGTCCTTCTGTCTGTTCTGCTCCCCACTCTGGCTCTGGTGAATTCTGTCACCCTCCCGCGCTTCTGACTATACCCAGTGCTTGTATAAATAAATAAATCTTAAAAAAAAAAAGTATGTATTTTCCTACCCTTTCCCACATAAGGTTTATCTAATTTAAGAAAAGGTTTTCTCTTCCAGTAGGATTTTTCAGTGGGGGGTAGGGAGGGGCAGGACAGCTACTCACTTTCACCAGTCTTTTTTCTTTCCTCAGGATTTCAAGATTAAGAATCACCAGTTTCCTTGGGCCTCCCTGGTAATGCAGGGGTTGAGGTCTCCACACTACCAAGCTATCTTCAGCCACCGCATCATGAGTCTCTGCAAGGGAGCTAACCCACATAGTGCAACAGACCTCTCCTGTCTGGCCTGCTGATCCCCTCAGCAGTATATTACAGTAGATCCTCCTGTTCTGCTCCCCACTTTGTCTCTGGTGAATCCTCTCCCCCCCCAACCCTTGCCCCTCTGGCCTACACTCCAGTTCTTGTATGCATAAATAAAAATAAATCTTTTTTTAAAATCAACCAGTTTCCTCATAACGTTAAATATGGGATTATCATATGACCCATAATTCCACTCTTAGATACATGCCCAAGTGTTGGAGATCCCTAAGGCACGCAGTGCTGAGACAAGAAAAACATCAAGATCATGACTGAAAAACTGATCAGCCCGGGTCCAAGGTCTGGCCCGTATACAGATCAGGATGTTTTTTCTTATCTCAGCACTGCATGCCTTAGGGGTCTCCAACACCCAAGAGAACTGAAAACATGTTTACAAAAAAAACTTGCAAATGAATGTTTAGAACAGCATTATCAGTAATAGCAAAAATGCGGAAAAGAAATGCCCCATGGATGAACCTTGAAAACATTATGCTACATGAAAAAAGCCAAACACCAAAGGCCACATACTGTATGGTTCCATCTGTATAAAATGCCCAGTATAGGCAAATCTGTACAGAGTAGATTCTTGACTGCCATGGCCTGGGGAGAGGGGCAGACAGGGAGCAACTGCTAATAGGTACCAGGTTTCTTTTCCGTGTGGTGAAGAATTCTGGAGTTATAGTAGCAAATGCAGAACAATTTTGTGATTGTAATCACAGAGTAATTACAGACTAACATTAAATGAGGGGAGTTCATAGGGCTAGAGAAAGCTCATAGGGCAGGGGAAAGCCATATTTTAGATAGGTTGGCCTGGTAAGGTCTCAAAAGTGACACTCTGAAACCTGAAAATGAAGAAGATCTGCTGCATGAATGAGGCTGGGGTCGGGGATAGGAGGGTAGGGGCATGGTGAGTGACAAGAGAAGTTGCTGAAGACATCAGCAGAGCCCTGACCAAGATTTCTGTAGGCCATGGCTAGGAGTTTAGATTTTATTCTAAGTTTTAAGAGCAATGGTATCCATTGAAATATTTTAAGTAAGGCAGTGTCACTTTTTTTTGCTGCTGAATGGAGAAGGGTTTGGAGGGGCAAAAGACAGGAAACAGGAACACAGGCATAAAGATATAGAGGTTTCAGTAAGAAATGTGGATGATTTGGATAAGATTTTGAGAGTAAGAGGAGAAAAAGACAGATCAGATGCAGAACTGACCTGCAAAATCATCATCTGAAAGTGAGAACAAGAGGATATAGAGAATTGGGGGAATTGCATTGGAGAAAGAATGTGGGGTTTCTAGAGAAACACAGGTTCATATGGATATCAGATTCAAAGCAAATATCCAAGAAGTTGGCCATTTTCATTTTATAGTGTCTTCAAATTGTCCAGGACTTTTCCCTGCAATGTTCAGTCATACAGGTGCAGGTGCAAAAAAGACAAAAGATTTGGGTTCATCCAGCATAAGGGTTTGCCAGAAGAATAAAGAGCAGGAATCATAGTGAATTTTCAAGATTATAAACCATGACATACACTCCAAACTATACAAGGGGTACAGATTAACAGAAAATGAAAGGTTCGATGGAGTGAAGATGTGAATGAATTTTAAGAATTATCTCCCTGGGGCACATAAGTAAGTGAGTTATAAAGGCAGGAAATATGGTCAGATAGTAGGAAGTTATAATTTGTTTCTTCTGCTTGGAATGGTCATTTCTTCCTCTAAGCAAACATGTCTATTTGATCTCTAACCACATCCACCCTGAGTTTTTCTCTACCCTAGCTTACTGGCCATCCCACTTCTTCCCCCCAGCACCACAACCCGAGTTGTCACTATCTCATCCAATCCTAAAAACATACCTATTCTCTCCTTGGAGCATTTCTGTTTTCCCATTGGAATCTCTCCTCCTGTGACAGCCCTCACACCAAGTGTGTACTACTGATAGCATTCACCTTACTATCTATTGCTCATTGTTTTTCCTTTCTAGATTTCTTTACTCAATTGGGAAAAATATTCAAAAGTGTGTGGATCCCGTGGCAGTAGTGAGACTATTGTGAGGCATGGAGCAATCACTCTCACACTCACAGGAATCTCAGATTCCTAAGCCTCCAAACCTCACCCGTTCTCTAACGCAATATTTCACCAAAATAAAACAAAAGCTAACAATCACAGTTCACAAAAGTCTCTAGCAGCTCCGTGGACCTCATGGAATGGCCTCAATATCACAAATTTAATTTAAACCACTCTACCACTCAAAAATACCCTCAAGCGTGAAACAGCTCTGCCAGGCTGAGGGAATACGGATCTGCACAATGATCAAAAATCCGGATGCCACATCTGGATGCATGGGCAGCAGACCCTGGGCAGGAGCAAGGCCAAACGGGTACATCAGAGGTGCCAAGAGAGTCAGGTGGCACTGGGCTGCACTCGTGGTCTGACCTCAGCCTGGCACCTACCTCTGTCCTCTCCAGTTCCGGCCGCAGGGGCAGTAACAGTGGCCACACCCCGGCCTGAAGCCATGGCTAGCACCACGAGGGCTCCCCCCAAACCTAAAAGTGGCGTGGGGGTCGGGGCCGGGTGCGTGCTGGTACAAATTCGGGCTCGGAAACTGAACCCGGTAAGAGCCCCGCCGCACAGGTCCCGGGCGCCCCCGGAAGCGCCGCTCACGTGACGATCACGTGACGGGCACTGGGCGGGGGCGCGCGGGTTTGTTTTGATCCCCCGTTTGTTGAATTGTGAGCATGTGGTTTCGGCTGTAGCGCTTTTTACCCTCCCCAGACCTTAGTCGTTCAATATGATCCTGACTTCGTTTCGGTTTCTCCTCGTCTTCTAGTCGGGTTCTTGTTTTCCGCCTCGGCCCTTTTCTCCACCTAGCAGTACTGACGTTTTGGAGAATGGTTTGTTTTTTTGTGGGGCCAGAGGCGCTGGTTTGTAGCTCTGTGTTCGCTTATTCTGCAGCCATGACCAGCCCCCGAGATGGCAAGAGCTCACATTTCTCTTCCACTTCCTTGCCCTTCTGACTCCTGGTTTTCATGGCTGCCAGGGAACACGGGCCTCTGGCAAATGTCCTTTACTTGCTTCCCCGTGACTCATTTCCCAATCCAGGCAAACCAAAGTGCTCGACTTAGGTTTTCAAGGACACTAACCGACAGCTGTCAGGCTTCTGGACTTGTATAGTCAAGTAAACAACCGGCTTCTTGATCAAGAGATCAACAACCCCCACCCTTCCCCTCGCTTTCGCTTCATCAGGAGATGGAGCTAGGCCGTTTCGAAGCAAAAGGCTTCCATTCTTAATATATGCTCATTGCTTGTCTATTAAGTAACAAGGCAAAATGTGTAGGTAGAAAGCTATGTATAATATATGTGTGTGTGTATGTGTGTGTATATTATATATATATATAGCTAGCTAGTTTATTTTATTTTTTAAAATATTTTTTATAATTCTTACATCATTTTTCATCTTTGCACAATGTATGTATTTTTATTTTGGCTATATTCCCCATGCAATTGCACCCCCCCCCTTTATTTTGACTCTAGTCCTTCCTCTTTCCACCCCTCCCTCTCCACCCCCCACGCCCCCAGTGTGTCTCTGGTTTATAGTTGCTTGTTGATTTCGATTTTTATTTTGTCTTTTTCCTGGTCCCTTATTTAGGTTTTCTAAATTCCTGCTATGAGTGAGACCATCCAGTATTTTTCTTTTTCTTTCTAACTTATTTCGCTGAGCATGATCCCTTCTTATAGCTAGCCAGTTTATCATTTCTTTGGGCAGGACACAAAAAGACAGTTGCTAAAACTAGGCAGCAATTCCCTGGGTCCCACCCACACCTCAATCTTATCCTATCTCCCTATAATTTCTGAAGTTATAAACCCAACAAAAATAGGAATAAACCAATATAGAAACAAGCATTAGCTTAAGTGACCGGAGGTCACCGGCTTGTTTATCAAGCACGTGAAGTAAACTCAGACACTTCCTCCCGCACCCGAGCTCCTCGCCCAGCCTCTAACACATCCTTTGTGGGAGCTGCTTTTTCCCGAGGCTCAGCTCGCTCGCCCCTTCCTTTCCAATCCCCTCTCCCCCCTGGAAGCCGGGCTTCGCTCCGTCTCTCGCCTCTGTTTAGCCCCCCTAACCCGCCGGGGGAGAGGAAGGCCAGTGTCTCTGGCTGACGAGCCGGGGTCCCGCACCCCGACCTCGTCGCCGCCCCCCGCCCGGCGCCCCGCGCCCCGCGCCCCGCCTGGAGCGGGCACACCGCGCAGGCGCACGAGCGCGGCCGGAGGGCGAGGGCGAGCGGAGCGGACTCGGCCTGAGCCTCGTCCCGCCGCGTCCGTGCGGGGCTGCTCTGCCGCCCCCTGACCGCGCCGGGCCGGCGCCCCGCGGGCCGCGCGTCGCGATGGGCTCGGGCTGGAGCAGCGAGGAGGAGCGGCAGCCGCTGCTCGGGCCGGGGCTGGGACCTGCGCCGCCGCCTGCCTGGAGGAGCCGGGACGCGGCGGCCGCGCTGCCCGCGGCGGCCCCGGGGCTCGGGCGCGTGTACGGGCGCCGCTGGCTGGTGCTGCTGCTCTTCTCGCTGCTGGCCTTCGCGCAGGGCCTGGTCTGGAACACCTGGGGGCCCATCCAGAACTCGGCGCGCCAGGCCTACGGCTTCTCCAGCTGGGACATCGCGCTGCTGGTGCTGTGGGGGCCCATCGGCTTCCTGCCCTGCTTCGCGTTTATGTGGCTCCTGGACAAGAGAGGTGAGGGGCCGGGGCGGGCCGCGCTGTCGCTCGGGGGCGCCGGGCCCGCCGGGTCTCCAGGCCCGCGAGCCGCCTCCCCTGGCTTCGTCCTAGGGGTTGTGTGAGGTGACGGAGTGCTGCTGGCATCCCTTTCCTGACGGGGAACCCTCCGTCCCCGAAGCGACAAATAAGGGAAAGCGTCTTTGCAGATATTTATGTTTTTATCGAGGCCTATTATGCAACAGCTGAGATGAAGCGATCTCTAAAATGTTCGATTTTTGCCTGTTGTGGACATGAAAGTGTCGCCGTGCACGTGCTGTGTATGTTTTTTACACCTGACATAAGTGACCGAGGCTTTGACTTAGTAGGAATTTGGGGATGTGGAGGGTGGACGGATGGAGAATAGGTTGATGGTGCCCAAACATCAGGAAGGAATGAGTTGGCTTTGCGTATATAATAGATGACTTCAGTCCAGGAAGAACTATTGGGAAATCGAGTCTAACATTCTGGTTTCTGGAAGATGGTGCACAGCAGCTTTGAAGTGTATGTATGTGACTAGGTGGCTGTGTCAGATGAGCTTTATGACTCTCAGATAAAGCTTGCAGATGAATGAAGACTCTCTTCATTGAGTAATACTTTGAACAGACATCTCACTTTACCACTGACCAGTGTGAACCTGGGGGGGGAGAAGGGAAGTCTTAGGATTGAATGAAAGGCATCGAATTATACCAGATATGGGTAAATGATTCATGATCAGTGCGAAGTAACTGCTAAAAAAAAACAACAAAAATTTTAGGCATCAGCCATAGTACTCAAAATAAGAAGAGAAATAACTTGATATGCTCTACACTGATGTTCAGTTCTGAGTGTTGTTCATTTAAAGAAGGCCATAAACAAACTAAAATACTTTAAAGTTGTGTGACAAGAATAACAAAGGATGTGAAAATCATAATGTGTAAGATAAAAGGAACTGGGTGTGTCAAACTTCAAAAAGAAACTTGAGGCACATTATAAAATACATGATGCTCAAGTAAAAGAGGAATTAGTCTTAATGTGTGCAGTTCCAGAAGGGAAGAACTAAACTGAATGAAGTAAGAAGGGGATGTAACTCAATACAATACAAGCAAGAACCCTCTAACAATGAGAACAATGAGAGGTATCCAGGCCTGGAGGTATGTTTTGACTGGCATAGAAATTTCAGGTAGGGGGCCTCCCTACTGGCCTAGGGGTTAAGTCTCAGTGCCAACCCAGTTATGGCACAGCAGACCTCTACTGTCTCACGCACTTCTCCCCTTGGCAATGTATTTCAGTAAATCCTCCTGTTCTGTTCCCCACTCTATTTCTAGTGAATCCTCTCAGTCCCTGCACCTCTTGCTTACACCCCAGTTCTTCTGTGCATAAATAAATAAATAAATATCTTTAGAAAAGAAATTCCAGGTAGAGCAAGTACTTATGCAGAGGATATGTGCTTCTCTTCTGAGAGTTTCTTATGCTGACTAGAGGTTGTCTTTGTTTAGATTGTTTTGTTTATTCTTAAACTAGAAACTTTATTTGGATTGCACCAGTTTTTCTAAATGTTCAATCCCATTCCCCTCCGCCCTCTCTCCCCACCCCAAAATTTAGACTTGGGTCCCAAATTGCATTTAGTTGTGATTGTGCCTTTGTGTCCTATCTGTGACACTTTCTTGGTCATTCTTTACAAGGTTAGCTACATTTAGAGGGAAATTTTGCTGTTTTTATTTATGTTTTTATCAGGAGCATTTTTCAATATTACTAAAGTTAGCCAACCTTATGTGTTTGGTAGAGAAATGTTAATTTTTACTATTTTTATTATAATTATGTCTACTATCCATGGCCAAAAAAATTAGGACCACCTAATTGCTTTATGAAATAAACTACTTGGTTTTTTCATAGTTCCTGTACTATACAGTAAATGCACTTTTATATTTTCCATTGATTGAAGCAATAAAAATAAATTTTAAAATTCTCCCTTTTAGTGAGTGGTTCTCCATTTCAGTAGGAGAAAGCTAATACACTTTCATGTGTTGGCTCTCTTGCTGCAAATTTCCTATCAATAAACATAGAAAGTAAGTTCCTGGCATCCTTGTGTACTAAAGTATCTTGCTCCCTAGAGGATAGGTTGTTGACCTTTCTGCTGCCATGGGTCCAAGCCAGCTAAGCAGAGAAGACCAGTTATCTTCTTAAAATGGGTATTGTACCATCTTCACCCCTATTCATTTTCTAGTGAGGAGACAAAAAGGGACTAGCTAGAGAACTAATAGAGTCAAAAGCAAGTGCGCCTGAGAAGTCAAGTGAAGAAGGTTTCAAGGAGGAAAGAACACCTAAAGCTGTGCTAAGCACTGATGAGATGTAGTCTCAGAGCACCTACATTCCAGTGAGGAGATACTGGTAACAAACAGTAAAATTAAATATTTAGTATGTCAGATGGTGGTAAGTGCTTTGGAGAAAAATGAAACAGGGCAAGGGGGAAAGGAATTGTGATCGGGTGGTTTTTTGTTTTATATAGCATGTCAGGGCCTCCCCTGTGCCTGAACGTTGGGTTGCGAAGCTGCCTGCAGCCTCTGCAGCGCCGGTTCGATCCCCGGCTGCTCCCTGGCCACCAGAGGAGGGTCCCACATGGTGCGCAGACCTCTCCTGCCACCCACTACTCCCCTCAGCAGTGTACTGCATCACTCTGCCTTTTCTACTCTCCCCTCTGGCTCTGGTGAGTTCTCTCACCCTCCCGCGCTTCTGGCTGTACCCAGTATTTGCATAAATAAATAAATCTTTAAAAAAAAAAAAAATATATATATATATGTATATATAGCATGTCATTGACCAGGTGTGTTTCAGCAGAGACCTGAAGGAAAAAGGAAGGCAGACCTGGCAATGCTGGATAACACTGTTTCTGGCAAACACAAGTGTCCTTAACTTGTTT